GAGAGAGAGAGAGAGAGAGAGAAAGAAAGAAAGAGAGAGACAGAGAGACAGAGAAAGAAAAAAAAGATAGAGCCAAACAGAAAGAGAGACAAAGAAAAGCCCAGAACGAAAACGAAAAAAAAAAAAAAAGAAAGAGAAGAAAGAACACCCAAAAAACAAAACAAAAGAAAGAAAACCCCAACAAAAATATAAACCAACCAAAAAAAGAGGAATCCTAATACAAATAAGAGAAAAAAATATATATGTATATACATACAATCAAAAAAGAGAAATAATACAAAAAAAAAAAAAAAAAAAAAAAAAATATATATATATATATATATATATACAATAAAAAAAGAGAAATAATACAAAAAGAATATATACATACAACCAAAAAAAGATAAATATTTATATATATAAAAAAAAAAAATAAAAATAAATAAAAAATATACATACACCCCACAACCTCGAACCTAACTCCTCTCACTCACTCCACAGACAAACTCTACCACGGTGCCAACCACACCATGAAGATGACACAACAGTACACAGTCGGCCTCATGTGTCAGTTCAGCCTCCAGATGTACCCGTTTGACACCCAGCTCTGCACGCTCACCTTTAACGTGTCAAATATGGCTGACAGGTTCGAGTTCATAAAGGTAATGTCATAATGATAATGATAAAAGGATACTGATGATAAAAATGATGATCATGGTTATAAGAATGATGATAATAATGATATTCTTGATAATAGTAATAATAGTAATCATCATCATCAGAACAACAACAACAATAACAATAACAATACCAAACAAAATACCCATAACAGCAACAACAACAAAATAACCTCAACACCAGCAACAACAAAAACAAAAACAAAAACATCAACAACAGCAACATAAATATAAACAAAAACAACAACAAAAACAAACACATCAACAACAACAACACCAACAATAGTACCAATAACAACAACAAAACCCCACACCACCACCACCACCACCAACAACAACACCCCCCCCACCACCACCACCACCAACAACAACAACAACAACACCAACACCACCACCACCACCACCAACACCAACACCATCAACACCAATCAACACCAATTACCTCCAAAACTAACCACCAGGGAGGTGTCGACTTCTCAGCTGAGCGACGCCTCCTGGAGTATCGTAATAACTTCGTATAGCATACATTATACGAAGTTATACGACAACAACAACAACAACAACAACAACAATAACACCAACACCACCAACAACACCACCATCAACACCATCAACACCAATTACCTCCAAAACTAACCACCAGGGAGGTGTCGACTTCTCAGCTGAGCGACGCCTCCTGGAGTATCGAATGGTCAAGGAGGAGATGTCTCATCCTCAAGGAAATCTCAAGGTGGTGCAGGTAAGGTTTTTAAAAGATTTATTTGTTTGTCTATTTGTGGATTGATTTGTTGTCTTTGTTGTTGTTGTTGTTGTTATGATGTGTGGGTTGATGATGGTGATGATTGGGATGGTGGTGATGATAAAGATAGTAGTAATGATGATAGTGATGATAATGATGATGATAATGCTAATAAAGATAATGATAAGGATACTTATAATGGTCATGATAATGATTATAGCAATAATGATAATATATAACAATAGCAACAATAACAATAACAATGATAATAATGACAATAATAATAAAAATGATGATAATAATAGTAATAATGATAACGATGATAATAACAATAATAGTAATGATGATGATGATAATAATGATAAAGATATTAGTAGTAATAACAAAAAAATAATGATGACAACAATAATAATGATAATAACAATGATAAGATCACTCATAACAATCCTGGTACACTGGCTATTAATCAGAGGATTACCTGATCAACCTCAATTTCAGGTAACACTCAAATTTAAGAACCAATACGGGTACTACATCGGCAATGCGGTCGTACCCAGCCTGTTCATGGTCGTCATATGCTATCTGACACTGCTCTTCGACATGGACGACTTCATGGTAAATAGACTGAGGGGTCGTGTATGTTTTGTGTTGCAGCAGGAACAACGTAGGGAGGGCCAAGAGAATACATGAATACGCTTATTGAACGAAGGGAAGGACAAGAAAACACACGAATATACTTATTCGACGAAGGGGACAAGAAAACACACGAATATACCTATTCAACGAAGGGAAGGGCAAGAAAATGCACGAATATACTTTTTAGACGAAGGGAAGGACAATAAAACACACGAATATACCTATTCGACGAAGGGAAGGACAAGAGAATACACGAATATACTTATTCGACGAAGGGAGAGACAAGAAAACACACGAATATACTTATTCGACGAAGGAAAGGACAAGAAAACACAAATATAATTATTAGATGAAGGGAAGGACAGGAAAACACGAATATAATTATTCGACGAAGGGAAGGACAAGAGAATACACGAATACACTTATTCGACGAAGGGAGAGACAAGAAAACACACGAATATACTTATTCAACGAAGGGAGGGACACGAAAACGCACGAATA